ACCCCAATGTACTGGGGAGAGGTTGGGCAGAGGGTCATGGGGAGTACCAAAGTGGTACTCAAGACGACAGAGAGAATCCAGCAGGTCCGGAGCAGGCTTCAGACTGCTCAGAGTCGAAAGAAGAGCTACAACGACAGACGCCAATCAGACCTGGAGTTCTAAGTCATGGATATGGTTCTCCTGAAGGTGTCACCTTGGAAAGGTGTCATTCGGTTCAGGAAGAGGGGAAAGTTGGGCCCTAGTAACATTGGTTCATTTAGGGTTGTAGCCTGGGTGGTCAAGGTGGTGTATAGGGTGGATCTGCTAGTCGAGCTTAGTTAGATCCACAATACCTTTCATGTCTCCTAGCTGCAGAAGTGCCTGGTTGATGCCTCTATGATGATACCTCTAGAGGATATTCACGTGGATGATATAATGAACTACATCGCGCAACTAATAGCCATCCTTGACGGGAAGACGAAGGATCTAAGGAACAAGAAGGTCGAGTTAGTGAACGTACAATGGCAACACCGCAACGGCTCGGAATGGACCTAGGAAACGGAGGACGAGATGAGGGAGCACTACCCCGAGCTTTTTCCAGACGCAACAGACTTTGAGGACGAAGTCTAAAATAAGTCAGGAGATTTGTAGCACCCGGATCCTGGTATGTATTTTATACTAAAACATCCATTTTTGCAATGGGAATCGGCAAGTCGGAAGCCCCAAACTCGTCGAGTAGGAACGAATGATTGAATTCGGGAATTGAAGCCTACTCAACGATTCGAGAGCCTCGACTTGTCGAGTAGGGCTGCTAGAGTGAAACCCTAATTTTCAAGGCTTGCACCGTATTTAAACACTTTAACTGGCCTCAACTTCAGCCTCCATCACCTCCAAGCCTTATTCACGAAACCCTAATCCATTTTGAGTGGTCTTGAGCCATTATTGTGTGTTCTTGGTGATTTTAAAGCTTGAGAAGGAAGAGGAAGCTTGGGGATTCAAGACGAGGCAAGTAGATCCAGAGTTTGTGTTGCATTTCTGACTCAGTAGAGGTAAAAGTATGTACCTTGGCTATTCATTTACTAGATTTCTTCATGGAAGTAGTTAGGGCTTTAAGAAGTCCATTTTGGAACCATTCATGGATGCAAGCATGTTTTGGAGTTAGAACCCCAGATTTGGATGTGCATGGTCTTATATGACTTAAAGTTACCAGCTTTATTAAGTCTTGGCCCTTCTCCATGCCTTAGATCTCGTTTGGAGCTTGGTTTTGGTGTTGTTAGCTTCATAACACCATGTATGAACGTAAAGTTCGTAACTTTACATGTTATATCGACCCCAGGAGGCCATATATATGATTTTGAAGCCTTAAACCCGACTAGAAACGATTGGATAGATTTGGACTTTGGGGAACTCGACGAGTCGTTCATACGACTCGGTAACTTGGGCCATGGTCCCCCAACCTTTTTTGTTACAGAGCAAATTCGTTGAGTCTAGAAGATGACTCAGCCAATTTGATGTATTTATGGACATGAAGATCAAAGAACACGATGATTCCAAGGATGAAGTTGGCGAGTTGAGAGCAAAATGTCCCGAATGATATGAAGAGGAACTTGATGAGTTCAAGGATGAACTCGGCGTGTTGAGAGCAAAATGCCCCAACTGATATGAAGAGGAACTAGACGAGTTCAAGGATGAACTCGACGAGTTGTGACTGAAATGCCCCGATTTGTATAAAAGGGAACTCGACGAGTTCATGGAAGAACTCGACAAGTAGGATCGAGACCCCATTCTTTTATCGACCCGGGAACTCGACGAGTTGATGGACCAACTCAACGAGTTGAGTCAACCAGAAGGTTGACTTGGACCAGAAGGTTGACTTTGACCAGAGTGTTGACCTTTGACCTTGACCAGTGACTAGAGTTGGCCCTTAAAGGGGTTATGAGTTTGAAAGAGTAGTTAAGAGATGTTATGTGTAGGAGTTTGAGGAGAGTTTATTCCAGAGCACAAGACAGTTCAGCTACTACACGACATTGAGGTGAGTTATCTTCTAGTAAAAATTGGTCTAAGGCACCAAGGTTGGCACACTAGTAAGGATTATAGTAAAGATGATTGCCTTTGTGATAATTATCTGGTATGTCACTATCTGTTATGTTTTATGTGCTAGTATGTTATGCTATTATGTGATATGTGGTAGGAGGGGTAGGATAGACCCCAATACCGGTCGATAGGGCCGAAGGTGTATGCCAACACCCGGACAGGCTAGGCAGTATATGATTATATGTTTATACAATAGGATGCTATGTGGTAGAGTATTGGGTGAAATAGTCTCGATACTAATCGAAAGGACCGAAAGGGGTAGGCCAACACCCTAATATGCTAGGAAAGTTCCCGGTCGAAAGGACCGAAAGGGTGTACCAGCACTCTGATATGCTAGGCTAGGTACCTGTCTATAGGACCAAAAGGGTAGGCCGACACCCCGATATAATAGACAGTTACCAGTTGAAAGATACCGAAGGGGTAAACTAGTAATCGAATATGTTAGACAGTATGTATGTTATATGGTATGTGTTATGATAGGGGAACTCATTAAGCTTTGTGGTTACAGTTTTCAGTTTTTGTTTCAGGTCCGTCTTCTTCGAAGGGAAATGAGTCGTCACGGTAGCAGAACATCACACACATGATTTACACATAGGAGATTCTTGGGATTTGTAATTTGACATTATTACTATTTTATGATATAGTTTTGAGACATGATTTATGAATTTTATGAAATGAAGTAACTTGACGATGTTTTCTATAAATGGTTTTATGAATCGTTATATCAAAAAATGAAAATTTTGCCTAAATTGATGTTACAATCAAGTTAACCGGTTTTCGGTAAACCAATTTTTTCGGTTCAGTTTAATAAAAGTATGTTAAGATTAACGAAACCCATAAGAAATTTCCTAAAAAAGAATAAATTGCAATGAATAATCCATATAATTTGTTAAATTATATCGTTTCTATTCATAATGAAATTTGGTTGAATTATCATATAGCCGTGAAATATGGAAAATAATATCGACCGATACAAAAATATATTTTTATAATTAATAGATAAAAGATAGTCGAAGTTATTTATATGAAATGGTGATGAAATGCAAATGATATTTTTAATCTATAACAATCTATGTATATTTGTAAGAGATGCGATTGACAATTATTGTTTTTAAATGGTAAATGTAAACAATGTGACAATTATTGATTGTAAAAGGAAACTTGTAACTATAAACATAAACAATATTTGAAAAATAGAAATTACAAAAGGAAAAGTGAATATACCCTTAAGGGTATTTAAGGATAAGGTACCCTAAACCACCATAATACATCGTTTTGTTTGATATATTTATTATAATGTTCTTAAACTTCAACACTAACTTGATTTACTTTCAAGATTTTTGAAATTTCACTATTATCTTCCTCTTACATCACATCTTTATGTCGGACATCTACTAAGCTTTATATATTATAGTTAAAAATTAAAATTATGTAAGAGGAAAATAAATATAAAATTTATATAAATCTTGGAATTAAATCAAGTTAGAAGTTGAATTAGAAGAACATTGGATAATTACAATGTGTACATACGATACAAAATGAATTAATATTGTGAGTTTGGGTACCTAAGCTTATATACCCTTAAGGGTATATTCACTTTTCCCAATTACAAATTTGGATTTTTAGTTAACTGTCCGTAGAAAAAAAAATCATGAACCATAAACGGATTGAAAAATTAAAGATTTTACTGGTTCGGTTAAACAAACTAAAACTTTTAAAAAGATCGGTTCGGTTAACCTGAAAATCAGTACCGTTTTTTTTGGTATTTAGGTTCGGTTTTTCCATTTTCAAATATTTTGAACACCCCTTGTATAAGACTAGTAGGTTTGAGTTTTGGAGCATTGGAAGTGATTTAGGTGAAACTATATTGAAATCGTTTTCAAATAACACTGCGCCCACTCCTAGTTATTAGCTAAAAACGTCTAAAAACAGAGTAGAACACCAGCCCGCTTAGTGTTATTAGATGTTGTGTTATTAGGATGTGATAATACGGACGCCAGATAACGTCCAATCAAATCATTTTTTTCTCTTTTTCTCTGTATCTCTCCTCTTAACACGATGTTATAACATGTAATAACATAGGGAACACCACCCCACTTATAAAATGGAAGACCCTTGCCCATACCTTATAGCCTAATAAAAAATTGATATTTACATAGTAGAAAATTGTCTATGATACAAGGTTGTTGTAATTTTCCAATACGGTTTTTGAATCCTGAATACCCAACCCAAGAAACATTTTCCTATAATTTAAAAGAAGAAAAATCTTTGTTTGAAGCTCCAAACGATCCCAAATTAAAGCCTACAACAACATTGCAAAAGTGGCAAAAACATACGTTTTTCCAATGGTTTTTATTAAACGTTGTCCTAAAGTTTTTACCCATTTCATCTAGATTCCTTAAAGGAGTTAATGTTTTGCCTAAGAAAATTTTGGGTATTAGGGTCTGGTGTTTAGGATTGCCACCTGTAAAAAAGGAAGAAAATAAATTGATTTTCAATGGCAAAGATAAGAGAGATGGCGGTGGGTTTCCACCATCGGTATATTACGGCCGGCAATAATACCATTGGGGGCGGTGTTCACCGCCTGTGAAACCCTCCGCATCAATATACTACCCGTGAGATCTTGGTGACACCGTATAGCCTAATTATAGGTTCTGGCATTTTTTTGTTTTGCCTCAAAATGTTTTTTCCATTTTAGAGAAAACATCATACCGATTTAAAAGCCAGTCCACTTCAGTTTGATAAACTGATTTGTGTACTGGCGCGTATTTTGGAGTTTTTCTATAGCTCTTATTTTCTCCGATCTTATCACATTAAGATAAAGACATTTATGTTGATTTCCAATTTCATCTCCAAGAAGCGGTAACCGTTGTCTTAATCATTCGCTTCACGACGTTTTCTATAAAACCAAAAATGAGTAGCAGAGGATGTCCAACATCTCAATAATGGCATTGCTTCTGCAGCTGTTTCTTCTTCTGTCTCTTCCACTCATCTACCTTCTTCTCAAACTTACCAAAAACAGATCAAGATTCACTCCACCAGGCCCTGTTGGACTACCCTTCATCGGAAACTTGCATCAGATAAATCACTCAAACCTCCATACTTCCCTATGGCAACTCTCCAAATCCTACGGACCAATCGTATCCCTCCAGTTGGGATTCATCCCAGCTGTCGTTGTTTCTTCAGCGAGTCTAGTGAAAGAAGTATTGAAAACCCAAGATATCATCTTTTGCAATAGGCCTTCATTGATTGGCCAACAAAAGGTATCTTACAATGGCCTCGAAGTCATTTTTTCACCCTGCAACGAGTATTGGAGAGAGATGAGAAAGGTCTTTATGGTTAACTTGTTAGGACCTAAGAAAGTTGAACGTTTTAGGTATATTCGAGAAGACGAGGTCTCCAGTACCATGACCAAGATACATGAGCTGACTCAGTCGTCAAAGCCCGTAAACTTGAGCGAACTCATGAAGAGTGTAGCGAGTAGTATAATGATGAGATTGGCTTTTAGTAGGAGGTATAAAGATGAAGATGAAAGAGAGGAGGTTCCTCGACTACTTACTGAAGTTCAGGCAATGATGGCGGATTTCTTCGTTTCAGATATTTTGCCAGGTTTGCCTTTTGTGGGTTTGTTTGATAGGTTATTGGGAAAGAAGGATAGGTTAGATAAATGTTTCCAATACTTTGATGTGTTTTACCAAGAACTCATTGAGGAACACCTCAGCTCTCAAAACCCAAAGTCGCTTGATAAAGAAGAGGATTTTATTGATATTTTACTACGACTCAAAGAAGACCAATCCCTAAACCTCACGTACGCTCACATTAAAGCCTTGCTCATGGTAATTAATATATACTCTCTCTTCATTGGCTGAATAAAATTTTATAAGTTTGCCTCACTTCTATGTGATCTCTTTTCTTGGATCTAGTGTCTAACTGGTCTTTTGTTTGTCTTTTAGGATATACTGGTGGCTGGAACAGATACTAGTACGGCTACAGTGGTTTGGGCAATGACAGCGCTCATAAAGAACCCGAAAGTAATGAAGAAAGCACAAGAAGAAGTCAGAGAAGTCGTTGGAAAGAAGGGTAAAGTTGATGAAGATGATCTTTCAAAACTTACCTATTTGAAAGCAGTTGTAAAAGAGATCTTTAGGTTATATCCTCCGGTTCCACTTCTAGTACCACGCGAAACAACAAAAGATACCATTTTACATGGCTACAAAATCAAAGCGAAAACCCTTGTATTTGTTAATGTGTTGGCTATCGGAAGGGATCCTGAATCTTGGGAGAGCCCAGAGGAGTTCTTGCCGGAGAGGTTTTTGGGAAGCAATATCGACTTTAAAGGGAATGATTTCGAGTTAATTCCCTTTGGAGCTGGCAGAAGAATCTGTCCAGGAATCTCAATGGGAGTCGTCATGGTTGATCTTTTGCTTGCTAATCTTGTTTACTTGTTTGATTGGGGGTTGCCCAATGGTATGAAGAAGGAAGATATAGATTTTGATGTTAACCCTGGGATAACCATGCACAAGAGGAATGATCTTTGCCTTATGGCTCATACGTACTTGTAAAAGAAGATTAATTATCCATATATTTAGGGTGTTTTTAATGTTATCTTACTAAAGGCTTGCTAATGTTCTTATATATGTCTATCATTGTTTTCTAATAGTTTCTCAATTTTTGTGGATCTATGAAGTAAGTTTAGGTGCTATATGATAGCTTTCGGATAGAACCATCAACATGTTCTGAATTGATCGACATCCATTACCCGACAGACCTCTGCATGAATGAATGAAAATCATCTAAACAAATTTTGAACCGTTAAAGAATCCTATCTTCTCTAGACCATTGAGAGATTTGAATCATTTAACAATAAATGGTTTTTATCCTTAGATTATATTTTGTATAAATTTTATTAAATAATGGTATTGATAATATGCTATAAATGATTTTCTATTTAATAACTATATATATTGGGGCCACAATTCACCATTCAATGAGTTCAATGGCATGTGAATTTTTATTGGGACCACAATTCACCATTGAATGAGTTCAATGGCATGTGAATTTTTTGTTTAATCAGTTCTACCCAAAATGCACTAAAGTCTCTCTCTCTCTATATATATATATATATATATATATATATATATATATATATATATATATATATATATTTTAAAGAAGTCTCTCTGGAAACAAAAGTTTCTAAAGATTTGAAAGAAATGGTCGCCTGTGTGGTTTTGCAGTTTTGTAATTTCTTTCTTTACACGTGTTCTTTTCACGCTGTGTCACCGTTATTTTAGCCAATTGCCTTTTGATTTATGTTGTCGTATTACCGACCCTCTTCTTCTGTCTCTGTTTCCATCTTTCTTCGTCTTTCCTTTGTTTCTTTCGCTTTCTTCTTCTATTCACGGGTGATATTCTTCCTAATATGTTTCATTTTTTTTTTTCTCTTTGGCTTTTTGGTATTGTTTCGTTGTGGTTTATGTTTCCCCTGCTTACGTTCCGACCTCCGTCACTTCTCGCTTCTTCCTCACCACCGATTAAGGTTAAGGTTGTTTTCTGTTCAAATGTCATCTTCAACACCGATGTGTTAAAAACACTTAACTTATGGTTTTATTTGAAGTAATTAATATCAATTCATGATTATCCTATCATTTTAAGCCACCATAAATAAAGGGGCTACGTTTTTCCCACACGATTCTAACAAATTCCATAAAGTAATTGTGTATCTATATGTATGTGCGTTTTTTTTTTCCATTGAGAAGGACGACATCAACATGATGATTTCGCAATTTGGTGCTTTCACTACAAGGAAAAAGGCCGTTACAGGCGACAAAAGTAAAAATCCAAAATGTCGCTACCGGTACTAAATCGCTGCTACTGCTTCGTCGCTGTTGATCACTTTTTCGCCGGTAATGAAAAAAGTCGCCGCTATTGACCCTGTCGCCGCTAATAACTATGTCGCCGGTAATGAGTCTTTTCATCGGTAATAGTGTCGCCGGTAATAACAGTTTTGATTTTTTTAATTTTCTTTTAATTAATGATTTTGGTTGCCGGTAATAATATCATCGGTAATTAGATAACAATATTCGATTAAATATCAAAAATAATAGTGTAGACGTTAATTCCAAAACAAACATCCGATTAAATATCAAAAATAATACTGTCAACGCTAATTACAAAACAAACATCCGATTACAATTAAATATCAAAAGTCATAATATCCGATTAAATATAAAAAGTAATAATGTCGCCCGGTAATTACAAAAACCAACCAAAGTTTTACAATCTACCAAGATATCCATTAAAGCGTGACAACATAAGCAAATAAAATGCATCATTACATACCACTATCTTTGTTCCCATCGTTTCCTTGATTATTTTGGGATTGAAAAAGCGAATAAAGCTCATTCCTACATGCTGGGTCGCTGAGCATGGCATGAAGATTTTCCAACTACATAATTAATAACAACATATATAAACTTATAAGTTAGATTGTCAAACATAAACAAAAACTATCAAAATACATTGTTATTTTTAAACAAAGATAGAAAACCAAAGTACATTGTTATTTCTTGCATCTAGGATAAAAACCCAATTACCAAACTTTTTAAAAAATAATCACCACAAAACCAAAATTACCAAATCAATATGCATTTTATGATGCTAAAATAGATTGTTATTTTTAAAAAAAAGATAGAAAACCAAAATACATTGTTATTTCTTACACTTTGGACAAAAACAAAAGTAAATTGTTTTACTTGTGATGGTTGTGATGATTGTTGTGATGGCTGCGAAGGTTGTGGAATCGGCGGGAGAGCAGAAGGTTTACGGCCAATGCCTCTAATATGGCCACGTCGCTCTCCTAATACTTTCTCGAATGCAGCTCTTTCTTAAGCGGGTGTTAACTCACTTTCACCTTGAGTTTGTTCTAACAACTCTTGAACTAACCGATTTTGTAACTCCCAAAAGTGAGTCACAATTAAGTATAAATAAACATTTAATTATATGATAAAATTATAATTAAATACTTACATATTGTTGTTCCGCCTCAGCAAACAAATACACCATTCTTATCGGTATGAGCTTTGCGAAACGTTTCACTCTCTTAAGGTTCTGTGTAACTTTAAAAATTAGATTATTTTTTAAATAAATAATTACATGTATTGTACCGTACCTTCTTATAGCAAGTACTGCTATACGAGCTCGAACCCCCACGATTCACTTTTGTTTGCATTTCACGGACTTTTTTGTTCCTTTCTGAAGCAATTTTGTGTTCATCCGTTTGGAAATACTCAACTGCCTTCGCCCAGTTATCAACTAGCATAACCTCCGGAGGATTGGCTAATGCTCTCGGGATATCATCATACCCTCCAACTATCATAAAATATTCTTTCGCGTCAACTTTACGTTCTCGATAACCTTTTAATAAAGTTGCTTGAAAACCCTCTGTCAACAGATTAGCTTGTGCATCCCAGTACATTTGATCCAAATCAAACTTTTTCTACAAAAAAATTTAACCAAGTTAAAAAAAATTATAGTTAACCATATAAAATATATTTAAATAAATAATTACCGCTAAATGTTGTAATACGGTGTCCTGTATTGGAGGGGAAACTCTTTTCCAAGTCCATTTGTCAAAAGGGACCATCTACCACATTGTTTTTCCAACTTCTCGAGAAAACATGTCTTTCGGATCTCCTAAGGGATCAAATGTGATATCCTATCATATTGCATGCTAATTGGTTTCCCCTAGTTCCGTAAGATTGCTTTTTAAAGTTTTATATTTTTCGCTTTGCCTCGAACTTTCCTTTGGGCACCTTCCTCAACTACAAATATAATTAAAAATTATTGGAAATGATATTTAATTTATAATAATTGAACAAAAATATTAAATAAAAATTCATAATAAGACTTATCGTCCTACTCGTGATGACTAGCACCTCTACTACCTGGGATAGGTGGGTCCTTAGCTCCGTCTCCCCCGTTTCCACGACCTATGATAGCAACCATCATATACATAAATAAAAGCAATATTCTCATCATTTCCTGGAAAATTATAAGATATACAAATACAATTTTTATTACAGATACACATTACATAGAAATAAACATTTCTATTTAAACTACAAATCCAAATAAAGTTCATATTACAAACACATATTACAAATACACATTACATAAGAACTATTCTAATCAGAATCTTCCTCAAATCCTTCAGTGTCTTCTTTGGTATCATAATCAAAATCGTTCTCATCGTAATCAGTCTCGCAATCAGAAACATCATTGACTCTACCAGTTGGCGGAGGAACTTCAGTTGCACTTTCTACATCAACAATGACTCTAGGAATATTTTGAAAGTACATGCTGAAATCGATAAAAAGTGGAGCATCAGATGAAGAGATATTTTGAAGTGCATCCGCATTGTCTACATTTTCATGTGAGACATTGTTAACATTTTGAACAAGGTCATCGTTCGATGGTAGATCCCAAATACTTCGATGATTAACATGCTCGACAACACATCGATGGTTATTGTTTGGCTCTCTGATGTAGAACACTTGTTTGGCTTGTCAAGCATATATGAGCTGATCATCTTTGTATGCTTCACGTCGTGTGTTGATATTGGTGAAATTATCACAAAATAACTCCTGTTCGAGTATCAAACCACTTGCAACGAAATAGTAGAGTTGAATAATCATGTGTATACCTCAACTCTATAATCTCTTCTAACTGGCCATAATATTTCTCGCATTCTCAACCACCGCTAAAACCCCAGAGTTTTTTGTTGAATGTTGTGTGTCACGACTAAGTACCATAAACCTAACACTATTGACTATACATGTGGTGTAAGAATAAGCATTTATTTGCGGACCCATTGTAAGACCCGACAACTGTTTGTGGAATTCTGGAGAGTTTTCTACTTTCATTTGATGAACCTAGCAGTTATAAATTAATATGTATTATGTATTCGTTATATCAATGAAAAAAATTTGTTTAGTAATTTATATTACCTTTTCATGAAACCAATTACGAAATTCTCTCTTTTCATCACTTTGGGGATGCTCAGATTTGAATTTCCTATGTTGATGACCAAAAGATATAGATTTAAAAAGATTAAAAAAAAATTGAGGATGAAAGTTAGAGATAAGATTAATTACTTGATATACTGTCTGACTTCTTCACAACTATTCAATACAAACCATTCCATGTTATGCATTTCCGTTAAATTAAGAGTTCTGATTTGAGTTGTGATGGTCATTCGACATTTAGACTCAAACATCCAAAACTTTGTTTTTTCAATGACAACATCTTCATTTCTTTTCAGACGATTCTTTACATCTCGAAGGTACATCGAACAAAATGATAAAGCTTCTTCAGCAATATAACCCTCAGTTATAGAACCTTCTGGCTTCGCCTTGTTTCTGACATAGTTTTTTAGTATTTTCATATACCTTTCGAAGGGATACATCCATCTCATACATACCGGGCCTCCGGCAATCACTTCATTAGGTAAAGGCAAAAGTAAATGAACCATAATGTCAAAAAACATTGGAGGATAAACCAATTCTAACTTGCACAAGATTGCAATAATGTCTACTTTTGCTTTCCTCATATCCTCCACCTTCAATGTTCTGGAACAAAGTTGCTTGAAAAACGTACAAAGGTCTACAATAGGAGTATACGTATCTTTGTCTAACACCCTCTTACTCCAATCGGTATCAAACGTTGAATTAGAATGTGGTGGTCATGCGATTTCAACCTGATAATGTTAGTATTGGTATCATTCACTTTCTTACTAATGTTAGAACCAAACCCATCCGGCAGTTTAACCTCTTTTATAAATTGACAAAAGAGTTGTCGACTAATTTCGTGAAAGGGTATCTTGCTTGGGGTCTATGAAACTTGTCACCATTTTTTT